AATATACACAGAACGCACACAGCCCCAAAAAAAGGAAAAAGCGGTTTCACCTCGTCATACCAGTCGTGCTGACGACAACGCTTAACTATTAAAAAATTCAGATGGCGTGTCTGGCTTGCAAGCACAACGGCAGAACAAATAAACAGGTGAGTAAACAAACACCAGCTGGGAAAGTCAATGAGTGACCTTGGACAAGTGACTTATTTGCCGAAAAACACGTGATCATCCCATGATCACATTCATGAGATATGATATCGTAAATCAGAGATCAGAAGGCAGCTCGGCTACGGGCTATTAATTGCTTTGAACGTGCCAGCTTACCACAAGTTCTTAGTATTTTCGTACCAAGTTGGGCGGCTATTATGCAGAAACATGCGAAGAACGCACTTCAGGCGGATCACCGTGATTCAGTTCCCTTTTTTGCACAACGAGCCCTTTATGGCTACGAAGTGTTCTTTTTTTTCCAATCTCTTGAAAGTGATATTCCTGTAAGGAAGGGCATTTCGTACGATACTCACGCAAACGATGAGGATTCCTTCCTGCCTGAGGCCAGTCCCGAGTGAACAAAGCCGTTCGAGGCAAAAAGTGCCTTGGTGAACAGCCTTCTGTCCAAGGAAAACGGTTTCGGGGCTTCGTGAGTTTCACCTATGTCTCTCAAATACACAACCCTTTCCTGGCCGTACTCCCTACCCCTGTTTTCCTTATCACACTTATTTGCAAGTACCTTCCACAAAAACGGCAATAATATATTTAGTGGGGGCGTTGTAAGGACGCAATGTGCAGAAGTGACAACGACGTCATCCAAACAGAAGTACCATCCTTGGAGCTCAAACCCCGAAGGCTCATTCAGGCTCAGGCAGATTGCTTGTATCCCAGTTCGGCACATGAGGTCCTTTAAATGCCCCTCCAGCTAACACTGGCGATGTACCAGCAGCTTCATAATAGCTTTAGGACTTGACAAAATAGCTCGCCAAGTTGGCAACATTGGCAAAATGCCCTCTCGCAGCCGACTGGCGCTTTGGGTTACGAAATACGATGTGAGCTACAATTTCGCAAACCAAATGATGAAAATTTAACTGCAGAACCCAGCTAAACCCGGCTACGAAAATAGAGAAATCGATA